CAGCGAGAGGCACCAACTTGCATTCCATTATGGAAATGACCAAGACCCAAAGAACTGTGCAGCAAAAATTGCTATTTGCAGAGGCTATGGTATCAGAACCACTTGGGTATGAATTCCTGTCCATCCTCTGCCAACAACTAGCTGTGACATGATGGAAAAATCATTTGATCTGCCAAGTTTCTCTCATCCAGTTCTCACACACAACTGAAGTAGAATCTCCATGAAACATTTCCTGATCTTTGCCCTTCTTCCCTCTCCAGTAACACTGAGACATTTTCTCCTCTGCTCCTTGCCCCTAAGACTTCAGTTTTACACTATTATACTTAAAAGTTGGGGCTTTTAAAACTTATTTATCTTCCATACTAAAGACTGAGAAACTGGAAGACTGATTGAGCCTTCCTCCCCATTGCTTAAAACAATGGCTGGCACAAATAAATGCTAAGTAAATGTATGCTAAGTAAATGGTTGCTGGATCAGTGACTAAAGTGTGGTCATTATACTTTTTTCCTTGGTATAAGGAATTAAATGAGATACTGTGTGTAGCCTAGTGAGTTGAAAGCACCAGCAAGGATGCTCAGAGGTAGAGGAAAGCGTCAAGGGAGGGATAGAAAGAATGATTAAACTAACAGTGCCCTCGTAGCAGCCAACCAACCATGCACTACTGTAAGGCACACAGTAAGCATGCACTCTGCTAGTCAGAAGGTCTACAAACTGTAGTATTAAGAAGCAAAATAAAAAGCCAAAGAATCTAAGTCTACGACTGAGTGCCGATAAAATCGTCAAACAAGTCATTTGGTAGAGAGCATTCTCTGCAGCAGAACTGCTGTTAAACAGTAACTCAAGACTCAACTGTAAAGCTAGGAGAACACTGTTCCATAGACACCAAGGCATTCGTTGGCTAGATGAAAACATCTATAGATTTAAAATCCTTTAAAATAAAGATCCAGCAAGACATACTAAATGTGAAAAAATAAAATATAGTTTTGTCCTGCAGGCAAAATGAAGACAGACCAGGTGATGGGTTGGGTGAAATGCAAGGAACAATGAAGAAAATCTCATAGACTGTGTAGATTTGAACATTGTTATCTAGGTATCACAAGTTTAAGAAGCCCACTGGTCTGTAGTCTGTAGTCTGTAGTCAGTCTGTAGTCTGTAGACAGTTTTATTTGGATAGCCTGCTATGTGTGTGCATATGTGTGTGTGTGTTATAAGTTTACTTTGAATATCCTTAAGCAGGGAGAGGACTATGAAGTTCATCTTAGGGTTCATTAATCCTATTATATCATATATGCCTCCTTCATACTATAAATCCATAAAAGATAAATCTAGTAGAAAAGAGAGTTGATAAAAGTAACACATTTATGATTTCTCTGGAAGAACATGGACTGAAAGGAAAACAGAGCTAGAGGAAGGTGGTCAGAAGAATAGTATAAGAAGTAAGAGGGGCAAGGTGAGATGCTTCAAGTCTAGATACACACTATTCAGGTAACCACCACAGGGTTCTTTATAGGACACCTGTGCTTCTTTTCAGCTAAGACTGACTTCCCACAGGAGTCACAGTATGCCAGGAATTCATGGCTAACACATTTATCGAAGAATACATTCATTCATTAGGGTGTATCTTCCGCCATGTATAATGGCTTAATGGCAATGGATGAACAAGTGAAGCTGATTTATCTTTCACACAACATTTAGCAGAGAAGCCATCCTGGACTGTTTTGCTGTATATATTAAGCCAGGAAACAAGGCTTCTATGTTGTTCTACCTTCAGACAACTGTCCTTGATTGCATCATACAAGATCTCTCAGCAGGAAATCCCATGCCACATTCATTTTCCAAGTTACTAGAGGAAGAAGGAGAAGCATGCACATGCACCCTTGGAGGACATGACCTGGACATGGCACAGATCACTGTAGCTCTTCTCCCATTGACTAGAACTTAGACACTTCACCAAACTTATATAAAAAGGAGACTGGCAGAATTGATGAGAATCAACAAGCACACTGGTGAAAAACAACAAGAATCTATGGAAAATACTTGAGACTTTTTCTTCCCCAGAAAATTTCTTTCTGAGCAGTTTTGCAAAGCAGATGAAATAGGCCTGCTTTACTGATGCCTTTCAAAGTCCAACTCAGCAGGTGATGGCGAATTAAGTGTTCAGGAGCTTAAACAAAACAAATACAGGCTGATTGTTTCCATATGTGCTTATGCTGCTGGCGGCCATAAAACAAAACTTTTCATGACTAGAAAATTGAATTATCCTAGGATTAGAAAGCTGCTGTAGCAGTTGCACAGCGACATGGTGCCAAGATTGAGTTCTGTCCCTGTCACTTCCTCACTTTGTACCTTTATAAGCCAGTAACTCCTGTAAATCTATTTTTATTAATCTGCAGAATGGGCATATTAACTATTAAGAAGGACTACAATCAAGATTTGATAAACTAATACATATGAAAGCAACTGGTTATTAGAAGGTTTTCAATAAACGTTAGCCAACTCAGGATTCCTATTGTTATTAGCTGAGACAGTGGTTTTTTTTTTTTAACTTATTTGTTCTATCAACTTCTATGTTCTTGTAAGCATTTTAAAGTATGAGAATTACTGGTCTAGAGATACAAATATGAGAAAGCTTACGAAAAGGCACATTATCTTACAGGTAATATGAACAAACCTAAGATAAATGTTTTCCTTGGCTTGATAATTCATGAATAAAATGTTTATTTTCCTGCCATGTACGTGCAAGTTGAGGCTTCCTCTAATATCCTCCAACCCCTTCATGAGTCAACCCAATTTTCTAAACCAATTTTCTTTATTCTGGAAGATTCCAAGGAATTACTGATGAATATTTGGGGGTCACATGTTATCAAACCTACAAGCAAATCTAGAGATAAAGCTACCATTTAAAATCATCAGCAATGTTCTAAGCAGTAGGTGATTTACACATTTTTTGTAAACCTTAAAATGTCTGCAATATAACTGTTATGATCCTCATATTATGATTAATAATACCGAGATTAAAAGAGGTTAAGTAACTTGAACTCAATCTTAAAAGTCAGCAAGATATGAAGCAAGTATGCAGTCATTACAAAGAAAAAGCAAAAAGAAATGAGGGCCTAAGCAAAGAACACTTTATTCCTAACAAAAAACAATAAATGTTGAACTCATGCAAAGCTAGATGTAAAGTGGGAATTTGGGATTGTTTGTTTAAGAGTTTCTGTTCAAATGCAAAACCCTTGAATTGAGAAGCAATACAGCACAGGAGAAGTCACAGACAATTTTGCAGGTGTTTTCAGAATGTAAACTAATTGAAAATAGCTTCAATAAAGAATGGCCTAGATTCCCTTCTCACGGTGCTATGGGGGAGCCTCTAATTATTTATGTTGGAGATTCTAGTCTAATATCGTCATTGCACTCATTAATTTTATAGGCTCTTACTCTACCATAAAAAAGTGAAAACACACATTAGAACTAAAGGATGATAGGAAGTTTCCTCTCAGAATCTCGAAAGCTGTCTGTTTTTATTTTTCCATTTCACAACATACAAAGTGAAAATATAATCTTCAACTGCAGGCGTGCTATCTGCTCCCACAGCAATGTTGCCGATTATTACCAACACAGAAGCAAGGCTGAAAGCATGAAGTCCATGAGAGAACGCTTTATAGGTTCCCAAGGGTGTCACTGTTGAATAGCCCAAGCAAACCCGACTCAGTAGGGATAATTTGTTTGAAAACTTTCAGATAAGACAGCTAGATCAGCTAAATCCAATGGTACTGCTGAATCCTTAGGATAAAAGGGCCTGTGTACTTCCATTTATAAATTAATGCACCTGAAGTATGCTGGTATTCTAAAGGTTTCAATCAGCCATCCGCAACTGCCCCAAACAAATGTCTTCAACATAAATAAAATACATTTGAGCCTAACTTTAAGTAATGTTGAACGGAGAGAATCTTTCACACATTAAACACTCCTTTAATTACAGATCTTCATGGATAGACCTAAGACAAAATAACAGCTTTGTATTTGGATAGCGGTTACATCACAGCTACATGTGATATGTCTTTGATATGGCTTCTATTTACTGTGCCAGGCAGAATTATAGGTGCCTCCCATGTGTTATTTCTTATTTAAATGGAATCTTGCAACAACCTCATGATGCAAGTAACAGAAAAGGGAAGAAACTCAAGTTGCTTGAGTCATATACCAGTTCTCCATAAAGGAAGAATTGGTACCAGTTCCATTAAACTATGCTCTCAGCCACGACAGGGTATTTGTACAGAGAAAGCCTACCACAAATTTTCATTTTATACCAAAGGTGAATGGGAGAATTATAGCACACATTTCCTATGTCAGTTTTTCTATAACGTTCAATTTCTTTGAAATATCATCTATGTGAGTAGTCCATGACCTACAGAAATCTTTCTCTTTTCAAGAGCAGTGAAAATACAAAAGAAATTCCTTCACTTTGGCTTTCTATTTGAAGGAAGGTAATTAAGACTCTTTTCTAATCAACAGTTGAAAACTTGAGGGTAGTGCCCTCAGCCTATGTTAATCCTTTGGCTCCTCACTCATCACAAATGCTGGAGGCAGCAGGATAGCAGAAGCAGTAAAGCACAGAGTCAAATCACTCTTGTGTCATTTACTACCTGCATGATCTTAGATGAGGTTTTCATTTCTCTGAACTTTCATTTTCCATATCTGTACAGTGAGAATAATAATACTCACCTCCTATGGCTGTTGTATTGACATACAGACTAATAGAAATAATAGAAACACATAGTAGGAAATGAACAATAACAAATCTGAGTGCTCTATTGTGTGCCCCACTCCTCTTAAGGAGCCAAAAAAATGATCATTGCAAAATAATAAAAAAAGAGTTGTTTTTGAAACCCAAACTTATGTACTGGGTTACAAACCTTCATAATTTTTATTTACACACACATCTATTTCTCATCACATTCTCCAAAGGTCAATCTGATATAATAAGAATCATTTCATCTTACCACAACACAAAGCAATGTCAACACAGATGTTCCATCTTCATTTGGGATACTTCACATGTAAGGCTTCTACATCTTGAAACATTCTCCAACGGATTCTCTAAATGAAATGAAACAAAAACTCTTGAGAACATGGGAAAAAAATAAAACTTAGTGCCTTCCAGTAATGCTCATCTCAAATTGTTCATGTCATTTTCCATCTGGCTGCTTTTCTTTGAATTTTGAAAAAACAAATCACATATGTATTTCTAGACTGCAGATTCACAATCCCATCTGATATACCCATCCCTGATGACACTACTGCTTGCATTTTTGGATAATGGAATTCCTTCTATTTATTTTTGTAAGCCAATGGGTATTCTTAAATAAATATTAGAAAATCATAATTAGGATATAAAACAACTTTCACGTTAAACTATTTTTACTCAATCTGTTTCAAAATAAATCATCTAAATACCAGCAGCAATATAAATGATGAAATTATGACAGCAATCAGGTGTCATAGCAGGTGTATCAGAGAAAAAAGTAATTTGAATATTATACCTTTTCTTTTTAAGATGCTTGTGGATGTCCTTTTAAAAGATGTAAGCATAAAATAAAATCATCACATCATATTGAAACACACTTAGTCATCGTCCCTAGTTATTTAATTATATTTAATAATATTTAATTATTATGAAAGACATATAACTTTATATGTGTGTGTAGAACATATGTATATATATATTTATTCTAGACTTGAAATTTTGCAAACTGAAACCTCATTCATAACTTTATGAGGTATTGTGCTCTGTTGAAAAAATGTGGCAAATTTAATGGTTCCTATTCTTATATGTCTCTCTTTCGCACACACACACAGACAAACACACATGCTCCCTACAAGTCAAATTTATTGCAAGAAATTACAGTGCAATCACATAAAAAACAATAAAATCACATTTATTCATCAGCCCAGGTCTATCTTTTTAACAGTTATATCGGTTTCATTACAATAGACTCCTCTACCAAAAAATTAAATAAAATCTTGGTTATGCAAATCACACTAATGAAAATACTGAAAACCTGATTGTGTGAAACATCTCAAGCTTAAGGAGGCATGTCATAGTGATCAGCTTTAAGTTAGTCACTTTTGAACAACTTCTATTGCTTCACTCTCCTTGTGGCTTCCTGGATTTCTATTTCTGCAAAAATAGTATTTAGAAAGGTATTGGGTGGAACAAGTGAGTCTCTCTTCCTAAAAACTAGATGAAAATGAGTCTTCCGGGTACATCAAACAGTACTGACATCTCAAGTCCTCTTGATGGGTTCACTTCAGGTACAGACTTTGAATAAAGAAGGCTGCTCTAATTTCCCTCTCAACAGAGGTCAGGTAAGAGAATTTTGTCAGGTTTTAAGCTATAGTTTCATAGCTCCCAAACCAGCATCCATAGTCTATATTGAGATTTCAGGGCTGGGTCTCTGCACACCACATTTCTCTTTTGTCAGCTGGCTTCCTGTTAGGGTCTGAATATCAGGCGCTGGAGAGAGCTTGGGGGGCAGGGGAAAGGGAAAAGGGGACTCCTTACTTCATGTTCATTCACTGCCAGCAATGCCTTAGTAATCATCCTTTACTCTGTTTACAGAAAGCAGATTCTGTCCACAGATTTTTCAAGCTCTTCCAGAACCTGCTCGTTCTGTCCTCTCAGAGGTGCCACACGGATTGCTGGCATCCCTTCCTGAGAGGTCTTGAGTTTGTGGGCCGTAAGATCTCTCCACTGAACTCCTCAGATACCATCGCTGGTTGCATAGCGCCATCTCCAAGACATTTGGACCTCGGAAATACAGGGGAAGAGTCCAAGTTCCTAGTAACCTCAAATCTTCCTTTTATTCCCCATACCCTAAGGGTGGAGCTGTTTCCTGTGGTCACTATCTCTGCACAATGCCAGGGGTCCCTTCTTCTTCTCTGAGTTCTCCAGCAGCTGTTTAACCTAACTTTTATATAACATCTCTGTGTTAAAACAACAGGTGTAGCTTCTGCTTTCCTGACCAGATTCTGTTATAGAACATATATTTTATTTTTAGGTTGGAGGTGGGGAGGATTAAAGAATCTAACATTCCTTGAGATATTTTTTATTTATTTTATTATTTAACCTCCAAAAAAATCCTATGAAACAGGTACGGTTAGCACAAGTATTTGTATTATTGAAAAGAGTGATAACAATTACTGAGTTCCTACAGTATTATTATCTTTGCATATATTATATTATTTAATATTCATAAAATTCCTGAAAAGGGAATATATTAGATTCATTTTAATGGAAGAGAACTGATGCTGAGATTAAATTATTTGTCATATTTTAGACATCTAGTGAGCCCCAGAATTGCAATATATGTGGGTGTGTGTTGATGTGTGTAGTACAGAAGGTTTCCCTTCCCTTCTGCACCTGGAAACCACCCAGACTGCTGATGGAGGTAATGAGGGATGCCATGCATTGGATAAAGACAGATCTTTGCACCTGGAGTATGGAGGAGAGGGTCCTGCTGCTTGAGATATACTGCCAGTGCTTTTACTTTGCCACTTATACACTCAATCGGATAAGGCCTGGAGAAACTCAGCTTATATAAACAGAGACTTCAACATATCATTTTCTCCGCTAACCATGACTTCTTGCGTTTGAGATTAGGAAAGCGTTAATTCTTCCTAAACTGAGCCATCACCGGTCTTCTCTATCACGCATTTTTCATGCCCAGATTCTTAAACACATGGTAAAGACCCACTCAGCATTTAAATACAAAATCAAAAAGAAATAATTTCAAAATCGTCACACGATTATTATGAAATACATGGAAAGACACAATGGTATAGTCCTTATAAGTGAATAACTCAAGCCAGCGGTTAAAAGATGAAATGATCCTGTCACTATCAATGTGTCATGATCAGTGTGTCACTGTTAGTGTTCACACTGAATGATGTGAGCAATGGGGAGTGGTGAATACAATAGATCTTAAATCAGACAATACAATTACAGAAACAAAAGGTGATTTGTCAGGGGTATCTCCGGGGACACCTCAGGCTATAGGAGGCCTTATGTAACTTTGGGTGGAGATGGGAGAAAATGCACTGGGAGCATGAAATGGCTACCAGCATCAATGTTACAATGCTAAACAGGAAGATGAGCTGTCTGTGCTCCTGCCAATTCTGGTGAGTTTTTTGGGGGGAAGGGGAGAGGGGGAATAGGTTTGTTTGTTTGTTTTTAATGGAGTTAACTAGGGATTGAACCCAGTGCTAGGCTTTTATTTATGTATTTTTTTCCCCCCAGGCTGTCCTCAGGGAGGGGGCACAGCCTTGAACCTGGGGGCTCTCTTCCTCTGAGTGCAATTCCTGGGGAAGGATTCAGCTGTGAGCAGCCAGCAGGCAAGTCTCCCTGCAGCTGCAGAGGAAGTGCCTGAGCCCTGAAGGGAGACTTGGGTAGGGTTGCATCCACTATGGGCCTCCAGGACTCAGAGCTCTTTGTAATTAAGTGTTTAGAGAGATGCACACTGTTCCCTACTCTACCTCTGAGCTATATCCTACCCCCTCTGGTGAGTTTTTAACATTTCCAAACTGGACTCTGATTTTTATTAAAATAAAGTGATAGGTTTTTGTCTTAACAGCGGCCCTGCTTTTTACCTGCAAAATAAAGTGGTGGGACCACAGTGGTGTTTCCCAGACTCCTCTGCATAACAATTGTGCACCAAAAGATGCCAAAACAAGTCATGTAGTGAAACTGGGAAATGCTACATAGTCTATGCATCTCTTTATCTGAGATTCACAGTCCCCTTAACATAACAAAGCTTATGAGGATCCAACAATAAAAAAATTTTAAGATGTTTAACTAACTTGTTTGAGCAAGGAGTCCGCTCCCTCTGTTTTTTCACAATGCCATTACTTGAGATGATAGCATTACTTTGGAACAGTTTGGGAAATGCTGAACTTGGTGCTCCCTAAAACCCCTTAGGACTCCAGGATATTCTGTAATTTCAAGTAGAGTTGCTGTTTAAAATTGGAGGACCAAATGCGACTGTGCCCTTAAACAGCTCTTAGCTGCCTCTCTATTTCAGGCGTTATTGTCGGCAAATTCAGGAGCCCAGTGGTTGAAGGCCATGGAGAATGGCCTATGACTCAGATTCAGGATGTAGTAAGCATCATATTAAAACAATGTGTGCATGTGAAGCATTCCCTGGGAGGTACACTCTACTTACCACCACTTCATTTTTAGGTCAACGAGCACAAGGGGAAATTTGCTTTTGGAAAGATCAGGGACGAAAAGGAGGAATGCAGGAATTAGCGACCTGCCCTCCGAACATTGCAATGCCAAACTGCAATATACACGCTGACGCAAGTGAAATCTGCCAGAATTAGGAAGCATTATCTTGGAGGAGAACCAGAATGAAGATGCTGTGCCTGAAGTAAACATTAACGTTTTATTTGATGGGTATGTCCATTTTTGTAGCGCAGCATCCCTTAGATTCTCCTAAACTTTATGACTCTTGTTTGACTATCATCTGCCTTTCACAAGTGAGGCTTCACAATTCCAGGTGGCAGTACTAAAGTCCATGCTTAGATATCTCCCAATATCTCTAATCTGTGGAATATAAACTCTGAGTTTATACAAGTATAGCAGCTTCCATTTTCAGGTGGTGTAACATTTCTTCACGGTTTTTTGTGTTTTGATTGGTTGTATCACTTTATATGAAAAAAAATCACCATAAAAGAGGTGAATCTGAGAAAATAAAATTTACCTGAAGATTTTAACATTTAGTTACACCATTTAGTGGAAAATGCGTTCTTAGCTCTCTTTGCCATAGAATTCTCACCACTTCCCACTGCAGTCCAAATTCCACCAACCTGAATAGAAATAAAGATGCTACTATTCATTTATTAAGCACCTGTTACATTCTAAGCAATGAACTCGGTTCTTTACTTATGGCCCTTTAATACTTATTATAAGTCTAAGAGGCTGGTCCTATTATCATATCCATCTTATCAATGGAAAAACTCAAACTCAGAGTTACATAAACATTCTCAAAGCCACACAGCTTTTAAGTGGCAGATCTTATAATCAAATCTAAGTTTGTCT